TTACCAACGTAGCTAATATTGAATTTGTTCAGTTAAAAATGGATGAGAAATGGTGAAATTACGAAGGAAATTTCGTGCACTGACTCTTTTTATCCACATAACTCTATGTGTTTTTCATAGGTTGATGAAAGAATAATGTATTGAAACATAACGGTTAATTATCTTTGAAGAAGTACCCATGAGGACATTTTCGATACATTTATCGCGATAAGTGCTTGTTTTATCGAGGCCGTCACGGAGTTTTTGCAGTTATCGCGACAATTACTTTATCATGACAAAATAGCTCATTACCCCGATACGGATTGTTTATCGATAACTCGCGATAATAAAATTATGGCAATAAAAAGGTTACTTTGTTCGATAAATTATTTATCTCGATAACTGCAAAAACTCCGTGACGGCCTCGAATAAAACAAGCACTTACCGCGATAAATGTATCGAAAATGTCCTCATGGGTACTTTGTTAAATACTGAACTACCAGAAAAGATTTATATTTAGCAACACCTCTTAAAGTTTTCTTCTTATTAAATATATGCTTACTTTCGTCCAATATCATATTAAACGAAACATAATTAGACGATTTCTACTACTTTTTGGTTTTCCAAGACGACAACATGTACTTATATCTGATTGCTTCACATCAATATTAATTGATTAACACATATCAACAATCATATCTGTTGCATTTTCACTTTTATTTCCAAGTACGCCATAAACTAAGATATTTAATCGTCGATTATATTATTCTAAATTATTATGACGAGTTCATGCTCATATGATGTTTTAATTATATCATTTATTTCATTTTTAAATTGTGCATTGACCTGTTTAACGATAACTTGAATAAATAAAGAATAATTTTATATATTCTTAACCATTTTCGTTAATTTACGATCACTATCTAAATTCGTTGGCGTAGTTGAACCTAAGTCAGACATTTTATTCTAATAGCTATGTTTTGACTGTCAGAAGGAAAACGATACAAACACACGCGGCTGTGTTCTGCTAGTGTTGAGCATGTCTTATCATGGAAGGACAGAAAGAGAGAATGATGTGCATTACTCAAGTATATTGTCATCTGACGTATTTCGTTCATATTTTATAATGTATTCAACAGCTTATTGAATGAACCATTACTATTTACAGAAGCAGTTAACATGAATTTTAAGTAATGAATATAAATTTAGTTTTTTAATTTTTTTGCGTATTCTCTTCTTTTCTCTTTCCACTGATAACCTTCGTACTGGAGCCACTTTGAAATCTCAGCAATAAAATTTCCAGCATATACTCGTTCTAACCATTGTGGATGTAATTGCTGTTCACCATAAGTAGCACCAGCTAATTGACCATAAATGGCTGCTACGGTATCTGTATCATCGCCTAGATTAACACATTTCAAAGCACCATTATGAAAAGAATTATTGTCGTTGTAGAAAGCCCATAACGCTGCTTCTAATGTTTGTACGGCCATTGCACCCGCTTTTATTTCACTTCGATTTTTTTCTTGATATGAACCATTAGCGATCTGAACGATATCAGGATGTAACGGTTTATCGCCATACCAACCAGCTTGAAAACATCGATCATAGAACATTCTGTCCATAAATTCCTTTTTCGACGTACCATTAAGCGCAGCATACAGTAAGGATGCATAGAAACGACAAGCATCTACTGCTTTCTGTCCACCGTGAGTTATTTCAGAACTGACACCAGCATAATAAATGGCATGAACTGGCGTTGTTGCCTGACAGAAAAATAATGGCACAGGAGCGAGACGCATCAGGGAACCATTACTGTCAACATCTTCGCGACTGCATTTAGTATCAAATTTTGTTGATAAATCATGTGGTAATAAATCAAGCTCTTTGAAATCTTGAATATGGTATTCTTGTGCGAACTGATGCTGTCTCTTAACAAATTCGTCCAGCGCTGCTTTCGTTGAATTTCCTATATCAAAGCATTTTCCAGTCGATGACATGTAGCCTTTCCTCCACCACCATTTGTATCGAACAAGTTGATCATAAGGATCAAAACCTTTCTTTGCAATAAGACTTGCTGCTAGACACAATGCCATTGAAGTATCGTCTGTCCATTGTCCAGCTTCTAAACCCCACGTACCGCCCCCTTGTAAATCTTGTACAGGATTTTGCTCTAAGTACGCTCTTGGTCTAAATTCAACATGAGCGCCTAATGCATCTCCAATAGCCATTCCAAGCATTGAACCATAAATTTTATCTAATAGCCTCTTATCAGCCGGATGTGATGGAGGAAGATCGAGGTGCATATCTGCTGGCTTTTTATCTGTTGTATTCAATAATTCTGCTGGGAGAGATTCTACTGGTATTTCTACCAGTGGCGGTTGCTGAAGATATTTCAGTTGTTGCTGCGATGGCTTCATAGTTGCGACCGTTGCATTATTATTCACATATGGATAAGATTTAGTCGGCTCAATTACGGTTGTTGGGCCCTTGAAAAGATGAAATATGGTACATTAGTTCTTCAGTAAAGTATAATTAAACACGGATAAAACTATTCTTCCAGTAGGGTAATAGTAATGTATTAACATTCGGCGCTTAATGATGTGTTAATTTTGAACACTGTCAGAAAAGAAAATGAGCTTTGTAAATCAATAGTTTGACTCCTTTACAGTGACAAACTCAAAGTTAACGAATTCTATGCTGTTTTATTCGTAATGCATAAAATTGCGAATAAACCACTGCAAATTATGTTTGCAAGAGAATGTAATTTTTAAACTAATAAATCAAACATGTTTATCAATTATATACCCTGCAATTTTTCGCTTTTTCATCATATATTACGTGATTATATTGACAACCAACACACGTTTGTCAATGGAAGAAATAGTTCCGAAGGCAAGTTTTTCCGGTCTCTTTATGCATTTACATGATATGTCATGATGTATTTTGTGATCACATTTACAGAATAGGATTTTTGCTTTGGAAAATTAATCATTACATAAACTTTGTTTCAGAAATAGATGGCTGAGTGAAGTCAAATAGTTGATCATGCCTTGCTCTGCTAACCAACAACGTTTGAAACTTAGCACTGAAATTTAACTTATGCATCTATTTTTTTTTTATAAGATTAGTAAACATTTCTACATTGCTAGTTGATAATGGAAACGACCTTTGTTTTAGACTAGTTCCTTTTACGCACAAACCGTCCGTTGTTTTCTCATAAAAATTTATATTTACACAAAAGTATCATAGACCGAATATTTATACTATTGAAAGAAAACGAACGATGTTGAATGCTAAAATTGTCTCTAGCCTAAAAAGATGATGTCATCATGTACAAACATCAGTTCGCATTTCACTTTTTAAGTAATAAATATCTTACCCGTTGAAATTTCAATTCTTCGCCTGTTTTTCCTTCAACCCTGTACGAATCACGTCTGCCGAAGGCGCAACCCATTATATATTTTGTGCAGAGAGTGTATACATTTCTTTCTATTGAAATAAATTTTAAAAAAACGCATGTTTATTATTGTCCTGATACGCTCATGTTTCTGTTATTTGACTCTCTTGCATGCCTTTATTAGAGCACACATGTTGCCATTTTTCTTCTTCCATATTCACCTGTAATGTACAGAAAGAAAAATTGTTCGCATTGTGAACAAAGTTTCTATGAGCTGTTGAATAACAGAAGCAATGATGTGTCATAACAAGAATACGTCTTTTTATTTAATCGTTGAATAGAAACATAACAAGAATACTCTCTACACATCCCAAGCAAAAACGACCCAATTTTTTGGGTTATTTATCTAGATTCAGGTCCACGTGCATCTAGATGTACGTGGAGCTGAATCTAGATAAATAACCCAAAAAATTGGGTCGTTTTTGCTTGGGATATAATGAGCGGTTTCTTCGGCACATGCAGTGGTTTGTCCAGAGCTCAGAAAAAAAAACAGAGAGAAGAGTTGAAAGATGAATGAATAACATATCTGTTACTTAAAAAGGGGAGTATGATCGAATCATTTTTACTCCTTTTTTGGAACACGATGCAATAAGTTTGAGTTACGACCTCAATAAAATACATTTACGTCAGTCTGAAGTATTCTTAGCAATTCACAGTAAATCATCCGGTTTAGACTTGACAAATAGCAGATAGACGAAATATTCAGGTGGAGATCGACGCCGCTGTCGGTTATATATGCTTCTCCAACTTTTCTCCAGTTGTTTAAAGTAGTATATGAATCTTTTCGTATTTTACAAAAATGCAGATAAAGTACTTCTTTTTAAAGACAGTAGACACTTGTTGAAAGGAATACTTTCGCGGATGGGGATACGAAAAATATTTTTTACCTACAGCTGACGACGGATTTAGACCATAAGAATACTTTCGGTACCGATATCGATA